GGGCTTCAAGAAAACCGCATTTCAGGAAATCAAGGGAGGCAGAGGGGACCCCTTTATGGAGCTGCAATGTTCCGGAAATAGTGGTTTCCTCTTTCATTGGGAAAGTCTGTAAAACCCAATTCCATGCTTTATTTTTTTATACATTTATATTTTATCGGGGAGGGGGAGAGAGGGAGAGAGGGAGAGAGGGAGAGAGGGGGAGGGAGAGGGAGAGGGAGAGGGAGAGAGGGAGTCTTTGCTGGATCACTCCCCAAATGCCTGCAATGGCCAGGGCTGGGCCAGGCCAGCATCAGAAACTCCTTCTGGGTTTCCTAGGCCACCGCCAGCTGCCTCCCAGGGTGCACAGGGTTAGGCAGCTGGATGGGAAGCAGAGTTGTTGGGGGCTCAAGCAAGGACTCCAGTGTGAAAGATGCGGGCGTCCCAAGTGGTGTCTTAGCCGCACCAAACACCTGCCCGGGAAGTCATGTTTGAATGGCTCTGGCTTCTGCGCCTAAAGCCTGGATTCTGGCAGAAAGAAACAGCCTAGGCTGGTGACACATCTCGGCATCTGGTCATGTGGAAAGAATGATCTCCAGGAAAAACCGCACTCTTGGCACAGGAGCTCTGCAGAGGCAAGGGCGTGGAGAGCCAAGCCTGACGGCGCTCCGGCGCGAGGGAGCTCGGCGGGCTGAAGTCATCCCTGACTGGTGTTTCTTCTCTTCCTCCCACATCTCCTTGGATAACTCTGGTCTCGGGGGGGAGGGGGGAGAAGTCACAGTGAGGAAAACAGCACTTCCAAAAGGGGGTGGAGTGGGGGTGTAGAAGCAGGGCAGGGGAGGGGTTGGAAGGGGCTCTTGGGTGATGGGGAGACAGCGTGGACCCTGGGGTCATCCCGGAGTCTGGCAGAACCGGGTGGTCCCTCCAGCCCCGGATGCTGGGCAAACAACAAGGGATTAGGGTCGCTGTCAGAGAAGAAGTTGGCCCATAAAATGCAGGGCTCGCTTGGCACTTTACAAATCCCAGCTTCCTAATGGATCATTACAAACACTCCACAGCCATCAGGAAATCCTGATGGATGGAGGAAGACGCACAAAGGTCGAAGTTCAGGCCAGCACAAATATTCACTTGGCGCAATAGGAGGGCGGGGAGAGAGAGAGAGAGCAAGCGAGCAGGGGACTGGTCAGCGCCTGCGTAGTGTCAGGCCTTTCTCATCTTTCGCCAAATCTGGAGGTCATTCCAGGGGCACCATGGGGGCAGGAGCTGGTGTCAGACGGGCACGTGCCTAGTGCACCCTGAGTCGGGCAGGAGGAAGAGGGGGAGGTTGATGGGGACACAGCTGCAGGTGGGCCCATCTGCAGGTCATTAGAAACCAATTTAGTGCAGGGCTCTCTGCCTGTGGTTATCTCGGATGCTGTGAATCCACTTGACGACCAAGATGGTCTTGCAGGCTGGGTGCACATGCCTGGCTGGCTGTGTTTTCTGCTTCTGAAGTCACAAACAGAGCAGTGATTTCCAGCCGGGGCACCCGTCAGGCCTGTCTCAGCCCTGTTTTAAGCTCCCCAAGAGTGAGCGTGTGTAGGGGCACCTTACAACCCAGCCAGGTTGCTCTGCAGTGCCCCCCTCCCCTGCCCAGGGCCCCGTCCCAGCTGCTCCGGGCAGCCGACTGTGACTTTCATACTTATAATAACGACTCCGTGAGAATGGAGTGCTGCCAATCAGACGCGAGCATGCAGAGTGCTGGCCCTGGGGTGCTGGGGTACTGGTCCTCCCGTGAGCTTTGTTGGACCCCACACTGGGTGACAGAGAGGCTAACTCCCCCTCCCAGTTGGGACCCAGCGCTTCCTCTGCATAATGAAGTGTTAACAAGGTAACCTTCCCCCCCAACAAAAGCATGGCTCCCCCGGCTGGGGGGGGGCAGGCACCTCTTTGGCTCAACTTCGGATCCTTAGTGGCCAGCACTGGGGCTCCTGGCCCGAGGTGAGTGCTGGAGAAATGTTTGCTGACTGACTGCACTGACTGATGGCTTGCTCTGCCTGAGGGCTGGGAGCAGAGTGTCCTCCAGCGCATCAGGTGGCCCCTTTCTGGGTCCCCAAGGTCACTGCTAAGAAAGAGGAGCCGCTCTGGGGACACCTCTGTGCACCCGCGTGACTCCACACAAGTCAGCAGCTCTTAAAAACAGTCTTCTCAAGTGTCTGTCCCCTGTCTTCTCTGAGGACAGCGGCATCAGATAAGGACTGGGGCCGGGTGACCGCTGGACCTTGGACATCGGGTCCCTGGAGCAGCTCTCTGCTCAGCAGATACGGCGGAAGGGGTAGATGGGAGGTGCAGGTAAACGCGGCATAGGACACAGGGGGACGCTGAAGGGGACCTTGCGAAACTAACACCTAAGGCACTGATGCAGAGACAGGTGCAGTCCACTGAAAAGCAGTGTGATGCCCGGGCCAGCCCCTGACCTCGGGTATAATTAAAGCAAGCAGGTGACCCCCAGCAGGGGGCAGGTAAGTCAGAGAGGGGAGGCTTAGAGAAAGGGCTGTGTCATGAAGGCGGCATTTTTTTTAAAAAGATTTATTTACTTGAAAGAGTTACACAGAGAGAGGAGAGAGAGAGAGAGAGAGAGAGAGAGAAGGAGAGAGAAGGGTCTTCCATCTGATGGTTCGCTCCCCAATTGGCCGCAACAGCCAGAACTGCACCGATCCGAAACCAGGAGCCAGGAGCTTCTTCCAGGTCTCCCATGTGGGTGCAGGGGCCCAAGCACTTGGGCCATCTTCCACTGCTTTCCCAGGCCATAGCAGAGAGCTGGATCGGAAGTGGAGCAGCCGGGATTAGAACTGGCACCCATATGGGATGCCGGTGCTTCAGGCCAGGGCGTTAACCCACTGTGCCACAGTGCTGGCCCTGACATTTTTTTTTTAAAGATTTATTTTACTTGAAAGGCAGAGTTACAGAGAGAGAGAGAGAGAGAGAGAGAGGAAATCTTTGACTCCCTGATTCACTCCCCAAATGGCCACGATGGCTGGAGCTGGGCCAACCTGAAGCCAGGAGCCAGGAGCTTCTTCCAGGTCTCCCATGATGTGGGTGCAGGGGCCCAAGGACTTGGGCCATCTTCCACTGCTTTCCCAGGCCATAGCAGAGAACTGGATCAGAAGTGGAGCAGCCGGGGCTCTAACCAGTGACCATATGGGATGCCAGCACTGCAGGCGGCAGCTTTTATCCACTGTGCCACAGCCCGGCCCCGGGCTACCTACCTTGGGAGTACTGGAGGGGACTGAGAAACTGACGTGTTCAGTGCGGCGAGAGGCACATGGTCAAATCTCAGATGCCGTGAATGATACAGAGCAGCATCTGGTTCCCGAGGCAGGCAGTGGCCATGCGGATACTAATCTTCAGGTCTGGACGACAGTTTAACATGGGAGTTGGTGAATCTGGCCCACTGCCTGTTTTATAAATAAAGCTTTATTGGAACACAGCCATGCTCATTCAGGTACCCATCACACTGCAATGTCAGAGCTGGGTAGCAGCAACAGGGAGCCTTTGGTCATTGGAGCTCAATGGTCCTATACAGAAAAGGTCGCCAACCCGCTCCGCGTGGACTTGGAGAAACCAAGTTGGCTGTCGGCTTCCCCGAGGAAAGTTGTATCCCAGAGCGGCTAAGGCTCTGGAGCCCGGGTTCCATATCTGCTCTGTGACCCTGGGCAAGCTACCCACCTCGACACCTCGACTCGTCGCCTTGCAGGAGGAACAGGAGGGGTGCACGTGGTGGTGACTGAGCAGGATCGAGTCTGGGCCACGGCTCGCAGCGCCTGGCGGCGGGAAGGGCACTATAAAAAGTAGTTGCTATTATTGGTCATTAAATGCCAGCTATTGAAAGGCACAAAGCAACGCCCAGAAGGGGGTCACGACTGTAGGCAGCTGTCTTCCAAGCACGCCCAGCAGTGATGCCACAGAAAGCTAAAAAGCGACGCGAATGTCAAAGGCAGTGCTCCTGGGCGACGTACCAGGATATTAATGATTCCAACTCCTTTCCAGTTAAAGCAGTAGATCAGAGCATGCGCAGGGGCGCAGAGGCCAAAGCCACGAGGCCTAGCACAGCAGTGTCAGTACCCTGCATGTAGTAGGCACCCCTGGTATTTTTTTTTTTTTTTTGCCTGAATGAATGCAGACTGATTGGAAATCATACATAGTTCTCCAAAGGGCACCTCCGGTTACTCTGGAAAGCTCAGTTAGCAAGAGGATAACATTTCTGCCCCCAGTATTTTAGGGTCTCCAGGAAAGAACGCAGCTCGCTGAAGAGGAGAGAAAGCCCGAAACCAGGAACCGGCTCGTGCTTCCCACCATGGGACACAGGCATTGCAGTGGGCTCCCGGAGGAACAGATGGGCAACGAAAAATGTTTAAAAACAAAAGCAGGCACATAAGGTCATGCATTGGCCCGAAATAACTCGGGACACCGAGCAGACGGATGCAAGCGGCACATCTTGATGGAAGCGAGGCCAAGCTGATCTGCCGAAGCCGCCTGCTCTCACTGGGGCAGAAGCCCTCGGCCCAGAAAAGAGGGACATGGCAGCACGAGTGGGTGGTGGGTTTTCCTCTCGTGCTGAGTGCGTTGCTTTCCTGCCCCTAAAGCACTCGAAGACACTGCGCTCCCCAGGAGCGCCTCGCGGAACGCGGATCCGGAAGCGATACCTCCCCCTGCCCCCCAAAGGCGTTTCTGACGCTGGTTTCTGTAACAGCAGGCGGCTGCCGAAGCTGCCAACTTGCCAGAGAAGGGCACCTTCTCTGTAAAGTCACGAATCGGAGAATCCAGGCAGGCTCCCGTGGGCAAGGGTGGGAGGGAGTGGTTTGTCTCAGCTTCGTGGAGGATCAGCAGATTGGGAGATCTTGCTGTACCTGGGTACAGTCCCAGACCACTACTCCCCTTCCCCCGCACCCGCCCGCCCTGCCGCGTGATACAGCACAGGGCGTTAGCAAAGGCCGGTTTGCTTGCAAATGACCGATACTCAAGGCAGCTGAAGCAAAAAGGGGGCGTCTAAGGGAATAAAAAACTGGCTCTGTCTGTCCGAGCCAGACTCAAGTTTGCGTGGCCTGTGGTTCCCTAACCTTCCACAGAATCCCCTTTCTGCCTGTGTTAGCTACAGGAGGCTTCTGTTGTTTGCAACCAAGGAATCTGGAGTGATACAAAGGGTTCTAGTGGAACCCAAGAGCTGGCTTCCCAAGGAAAGGAACTGGGACCAGGAATCACCAGGAATCAAGGTATCTCCGTCTATGTCAGCTGGGAGTACACTCACCTTCGCATCAGGAAACCCAGCAAGGGTAGAGCCCAAAAATCCGGGGCTCCGCCCACACTGATTCTGGCTTTGCCTGATGGGATTTTAATAAACACAAGGCAAACAGGGAAGTGAAAAGTACTTGTGCCCTTGGGAGCCTGTGACCTCCCCCACGTGGACAAGCCTGGTCTGGCTCGGCAGGTGATGAGCGAATTGAGAAAGAGCAAACCACGCAGCTGAAGACCTTTCTCGTCCAGGTTTTGCAACCTTGCTGCTGCTGACGTCAGACCAGAGAGTTCCTTGTTGTGGGAGTTGCTCTGTGCATTCATTGTAGGATGGTTGGCGGTGTCCTTGGCCTCTACCCACTACAGACAGCAGCACCCAAAGCTATTCCCAGATACTGACTGCCAAGTGTCTTCTGGGGTGCCAAATCACCCCCAGGTTGAGAACCGTGCCTTAACCCAACCTATTTTTTATTTTTGACAGGCAGAATGGACAGAGAGAGAGAGAGAGAGAGAGAGGTCTTCCTTTTTATGTTGGTTCACCCCCCAATGGCTGCTCCAGCAGCGCGCTGTGGCTGGCGCACCGTGCTGCTCAGAAGCCAGGAGCCAGGTGCTTCTCCTGGTCTCCCATGGGGTTCAGGGCCCAAGCACTTGGGCCATCCTCCACTGCCTTCCTGGGCCACAGCAGAGAGCTGGACAGGAAGAGGAGCAACCGGGACAGAATCCGGTGCCCCGACTGGGACTAGAACCTGGGGTGCTGGTGCCGCAGGCGGAGGATTAGCCTAGTGATCCATGGTGCCGGTCCAACCCAACCTATTCTAACCCAGATCTGGCATGTGGATGAGGCCATCCTAACCCATCCCGCCACAGTCAAAGCTGTCACAGACCAGTGAATGTGCCAAGCCTGGTTTGGCCTGGTGGTTATGCCACAGGTTGGAACACCTGCATCCCATTTCAGTGCCTGGGTTCCAGCCCCAGCTCTACTCCTGATAATGCAGACCGAGAGAGGCAGCACGGATGGCCCAAATGGTTGGATTCCTGCCTCTTTCACGGGAGACCTGGATTGCATTCCTGGGTCCTGGCTCTGGCCTTGGCCCAGTCTCAGCCATTGTGGGCAGGCATCTGCAGAATGAACCAGTATCTGGGGGCTATCTCTGTCTCTCTTTCAGTGTCTCAACAACAATGACAAAAGGTGCTGAGCTTGACCCCTGGGGTCATGAGAAATAATAGCAGTCGTTTGAAGTCGCTAAGTTTTGAGTGATTTACTCCATACAAACGTAGACTCCTGACAGCAGTGACTTGGACAGGTAGACACTTACTCACCTTACAGAATGTGCAGAGGTAGCAGGTTAGCCAGGGTTCAGATCTCACTGGGGCACCAGGCACCCACCCGGGCCTTCTTGTCCTCCTACTCCCTTGTCATCGGCAGGTGGCCCTTGTGTCTTGCTTGTTGCATGGGACTCCCAAGATGGCTGCTTCAGCTCCAACTCCAAGTCCCAGGGATGAAAAAGGAGACACAGCAAAGGAACAGCGGGCAAGAGCCTCCTCCTGACGAAGCCTTGAATCCCAGAAGGAGGGTCCTCCCCAGGGGCTTTCGCTTATATGAAGGACTTACAAAAAATTTATGAAAAATGCACATTACGCAAAAACTATGCATGGACTTCACATTTTTTCTTGTGCCAAAATAAAGTTCTCTTTTAATTCCTCTTATCCACAAACTCTATGAAGTGCCCTGTACGTCACTGGCCAGCTCTGTATAATATGGCCTCCCTGGCTGCAAGGGAGACAGGAAAATCAAGGTGTTTAGCCCTCAGCCCATATAGCAGAGGAACGTGATGAGTCAGCAGTGATGAGCTTCGTGGTCTCGGCTCCGTAGGAGCTGCAGGATCGGCCGCACTGTCGCCCTGGGCTCCATGGTTCCTCGTCTCTACTTGCTGCGCATCTACTCCAGTCTTCTCCATTTCCCCCCTTTAAAAAAACACTTATTTATGTATTTGTTCTAAGGGCAGAGTGAGAGACAGAGAGATCTTCCGTCGGCTCATTCATGCCCCAGATGGCTGCAACAGCCAGGGCTGTGCCAGGCTGAAGCCAGGAGCCAGGAGCCAGGAGCCAGGAGCTCCATCCTGCGCATTGGCAGGAAGTTGCACGTGAAGTGGAGCAGCAGGGGCTGGAAATGGCAGTGGCTTAACCTGCGGCGCCACCATGCTGGCCTCACGTCTTCTCCGCGGATGGCGTGGTTTCTCGGGACACGAGAGGAACGTGGCAGCTCCGGCTCCGGAACCCGGAACGGCTCTGGGACTCTCAACTCCAGCATCACTAATAATAACCTGAATGGTGGTCAGTGTCCCACTTTGAAATACCAAAGACGGAGATGCCAGTTGGCCTGGCTTGAATTCAGAGGGAAATTTGATTGGTCTGGCTTGGGTTGGGTCTCTCCATCCAGCCAATCAGCGGCAGCCAAGGCAGCAGTGTTATGTAGGGCAAGGCTGATGGGGGTGGGGGGTGCATTTTCGGGGAAAGGGAGGGTGTGGCTGAGGAGACACCCAGAAGATTACCTTGTTCAGAACACATTGCGGCCTGTGAAAGACTTGAAATATGCTGGAGACACACAGGCATTTTATTTAACTTCCGCATTTCCAAACATGCACGTTCAACAAGCAAGCACCATATTGCACACACAATGTGGCTTCCAAATGCAAGTCAGCTGCTTGAACTGCTGTTTATCCGAGGGATCTGTCCCGGTGCTGCAGAAAGAAACTGGTTGTTTTGGACTTTGGGGGTGTGGCCCAGTCTAAGACCCCTCAGGGTCTTCGTGGAACGTTTCTAGGGTTTTCCAGAGCACTCTCAGGGCCCAGTGAAACTCACCTTTCTCACCGACATCAGATCCTGACCTTGGGTAAGGTGTGCCTCCCGGGGGCTACCACACAGTCTCTCCTGTCTTGCTCTAGTTCTCATCTGTGTAACGAATATGTTTTACAGGCCAGCGCTATGGCGTAGTGGATAAAGTGGCTGCCTGCAGTGCCGGCATCCCATATGGCCGTCAGTTCTAATCCTCGCTGCTCTACTTCCGATCCAGCTCTCTGCTGTGGCCTGGGAAAGCAGTGGAGGATGGCCCAGATCCTTGGGCCCCTGCACCCACGTGGGAGACCCGGAAGAAGCTCCTGGCTCCTGGCTTTGGATCGGCGCAGCTCTGGCCATTGCAGTCATTTGGGGAGTGAACCAGCGGATGGAAGACCTCTCTCTGCCTCTGCCTCTGAAACTCTGCCTTTCAAATAAATAAATTTAAAAAGAATCAGCCATTTCTAAAAAAAATTATGTTTTGTTTTAAAATATAAAAAATTATTGTGGCTTTTCAAAAATAAAAAACAAATCATGGTGATGGCTTCTGGCTGATCCTCCTGTTTTGCTTAGCTGCCCGGGTGACCAAGAAAGCAGTGAGCAGCTGCGTGGACGGAGGGCGAGGAGGCAGGATGGGAGACACGGAAAGTCTCTCCAAACACCACGAGAAGGGAGCGTGGCCATCTGGGCAGCTCGTGAACTTGATCTTTGTGGCCTGGGGTGGAGCTATGGGGCCATCTTGGTGTAGCAGAATATTGGACAGTATGAGATGGAATGAGAAACTCGGGTTCAAGACCCAAACCTCTGGATCGGCTAGCTGTGTGATTTTCAGCAGATTTACCCTGTGGGCCTCAGTGTCCCCATCTATAAAATGGGAACCATTTTACCATTTACTTCCTACGGTTGGGATAAAATTTAATAAGAAAACTTCACAGTGACACATACATGTCTGTCATGATGACAGAAGTGATGAACGTATTGGTATCTAAATTTATTATAATAAACCCAGATGCGGACGTGCTGTGTCATTGCCCGGGCAGCCCTGAGGCTCCTAACCTACCCTGTGGCTCCAGCACAAGTCTTGGATTTTCTGCACGGGGGGTGTCTCGGGGCCCCTGGAGTGGGAGGCTGGAGTAGGCTGTGACCCCAGCATGGGACCGCGACAGCGCGTCCACTGGGCCTGAGTTACACGTGTCTGTTCTTCCTACACCTGAGTGTGCATTCATTCATAGCTACATTTCCCAGGAAGCCCTCCCCCAACAGACCCCCACATACGACACTGTACAGAGCGATCTAGAAAGCACAACACTAGGGTAACAATCTTTAACGTCCTACTAATGCGGCTTAGCACTGGGACACGGAGGAGGACATGGGAGAGTCACACCCACTCACGGAGACCTGTGGCCCGCTGGGGTGACCTTGCTCTAGTTCCTTCCATCAGGCTTAGAAAACAATAGGCTGCTTTTGCTAGAAGGTTCTTTCTTCATCTCTCTTTCTTGCTCTATCTTCAGGGTGGCTTTTCTGGCTCCGACCTTCAGTGAGCAAAAGGACAAACACACAGACTCTGTAAGCGTCCTGAGGTCCCAAAAGGCTCTACCGGGTGGTTTTGGAAAAAGCTACATCCCCTCCCCCCACATACACATACACACACACACAGAGATGAGCAAAAAGGAAACGAAGCTATCCAAAGGAAGCCTCCTCAGCATTTGGGGTGCGCCCTTGTTCTACTTCCTGATTCCTGGGTTTGAATCTGGGAGCTCACCGGGGAACAGCTGTGCCTGAGTGAGGCTTGGGTCTCTGGGGGTCTGGAAGGAGCATACTGTCATATAGTGGGAGGGTCTGTCTAAGCCTTTTCTGAGCGCTTCCTGCCCCACCCCCATGAGGGCACCCCAGCAGCTGTAGGGCTGACCTCCCTCTCCCAGGCCATGGGTGACTGGGATTTTCAGATGACCACTCTGAGCTTGGAGATGCTGCCCACTCCCTGCCGTGACTGGAGAGAGAGGTAATCAGAGGCGGTAAGGATGGAGGATGCACACATGTGCACGTGCATATGAGTACATGTGTGTGCATGTGTAGCATGTGCCAGTGTGCACACATGTGTGTGTGCTTGTGTGCATGTGTAGTGTGTGCAGATACATGTGTGCACGTATGTGCATGTGTGCCCATGCGTGTATGTGCTCTTGAGTGAGACGGGGCCCAGCCCTCCTGCTCACCACTGTTCTCTCTTGGCTCTTGTGAGACAGGCAGTCAGGAGTCAGGAAGGCTAACCCTTCACCAGCCCACCATGCACACCTTGCTCGCCATGCCCAGGGACCAAGCAGCAAACAGCCGCAGAGCCAGCTCCCTCCTAGTGCACTTGGGAAGGCAGCGGGTGATGGCCCAAGTGCTTGGGTCCCTGTCGCCCATGTGAGAGACCCAGAAGAAGCTCCTGGCTCCTGGCCTCAGCCCCAGATGGATAATGAACCAGCCAGCGGGTGGAAGATCTCTGTCTCTCCCCTTCTCTGTCACTTTGCTTTTCAAAGAAATAAATGAATCTTTAAAAAATGCAAATATGGCAGGAAGGGCCGCAGAACCTCAAAGAGCCCATCCTGAGAGGAGGGCCCTGGTGTGGGCCAGGCCTGGGCCTTAGAAGGAGCGGGGGTGGGGCAGGGGGGAACACAAGCTGGTCATGGGCGCAGGGACACCCAGGTGGAAGTTACGCAGGACACAGTGGGGTGGCTGTTCCAGGCCACTGCCGGCCCTGCCCTAGAAACTCCAAGCCCATTCCCAGCAGCGTCAGGATGCGCTCTCTCCTGAGGCGTTTGGGCGGGGTGGGTCCCTGGGAAGCGCCCTCCCTCCTGAGACTCCTTCCCTGGCCTTTGCCCTCAAAACGCTTTGCACAGAGCAGTTATTTAATCATTAATTGCATTGGCTTTTTGCTTTTTTTAATTTTTTATTGGCCCAAGACTATGAGCCAGCAGGGCAGTGGGTTTTGTGTTCCATTGACCTGAGCTGAGGTTCATCCTGCCCCTTCCCCGTAAGGAGACTTCTTAGATGTTCTTTCTCAATCCCTCCCACTCCTAAGAAGTGGGATATTACACATAGCCCTGCACGTATGCACGGTGTGTCTGCAGATGCACGCACACACACGCACACATGCATGTACACGCATGATCTTCAGAAAGTTCATGGAAAGCCTGCATTATGAAAAAACTATGCGTGGATTTCAAAAATCTTTTGCATTGAAGTAAATGCATCTTTTAATTGATTCTCCACTCATTTTTGGAAGCACCTTCATGTATGTTTGTCCTTATATATACAAAGAGTAAGTGTTTCATTAAACTGCACCCCCAGCACAGTGCTGCTTAGAGTGCCGGATTTTCTGCTTCTGATCCAGCTCCCTGCTAATGCCTCCTGGGGAAGCAGTGGATGATGGCCCGAGTACCTGGTCCTTTGCCACCCACATGGGAGACCTGCCTGGAGTTCCAGGCTCCTGGCTTGGGTGGCCAAGCCCTGGCTGCTGTGAACACTTGGGGAACGAACCAGTGGGTGGACAATCTCTCTCTCTGGTTCTCTCTCTCTCTCTCTCTCTCTCCATTTTTCTCTGTCACCCTGCCTTTCAAACTGGTGAAACAAATTTTAAAAATTTGAAAAAAGAGTAAACTTTTGCCCCTTTTGGAGGTGACACTGCCCCACTGGGATTAGACGGCACCTGCCACATGCAAGCTCTCTGTGTTTGTTGGGCGAATGAATTATTTGTTCACTGTTTTCTGTGCCCAGCATAGCAGGTGACTTAGGCTAGGTAACTCCATAAATATCTGTTAATTAATTTTCCTCCTTAGCATATAGCCCACAAAGAGTTGTAAGAGACCATTAACTGTGTGGGGAAAAAAAAATCATCAAAGAATGGTGTTTCAGAAGGCCTGGGAAAGGAAGAAGCTTCCAGTTCCAAAACTTGCCAGGGATGGAGATTCTAGGAGTGGGCAAGACTGAAAGAGATTTTACATGGCCTCAGGGAGAGATAGAGAGAGAGAGACAGAGAGAGAGAAGAGAGAGAGAATTCCTATCTGCTGATCACTGGAAACTCGCTCCATGTTTCGATGGGTGGAAGGGACCCACCCACTTGAGCCATCACTGCTGCCTCCCGCGTGCTGGAGTCCACAGTGGATCCAGGACTCAGATACGGGATGTGGGCGCCCCAAGCAGCGTCGTTACTGTCAGGCCTCGTGGCTCACTGTAGACGGAGGAGAACCCACGCCACACAGCACAAGCAGCCCGGAGGAAACCCTCCTGAGCTGAGCAGACCCCACACACCGCATCTCTAACTTCTGGCTGGAGGACTGGAGAAATGGGAAAAGCCCTGCTTTGGCTGAAGCACCACGGGTCCCATCCTGGAACCCAGGAGGCCTAAGTCCAGGGCCCAGTGTGATATTCCTACAACAGCCTGGCCCCATCCGGGCTTTTCCAATGATGATTTTGTTATCCTGGAATAAGGGTGGCCTTTTACGAAACCCGAATACATCTCCTCTCTCGCGTTCAGCCGAAACGTGTTTCACTTTCGGACTTGCCGAGAAAGCTCGCCTCTACCTCCCGCAGAGTGCGAATGGGAACTGGGTCGGTTCCAGTCCCGAGGCAGAACTGTGAATGGCATAGCGTGGATTCCTAAGTCTTAAAAGAAGACTTCCAGGAGAGGCCACGCCCAACTGTGCCAGGATAATTCCCTGTTTAGCACCTGCAGGAGGGAGGGGCACTCACCTGCTGTCAGAGCTGCACTGAGTTCCTCCCAATTCTCCCGCTTAGCTGTGGGCTCTGGACAAATAGGTCTCTGAGCCCCAGACACCTTAGCTAAGCGCTGGAGAGAATGACAACCCCGCCCCGCAGGGCATCCTGGGGAATCACCCAGACGACGCAGCTCTGTGCCTGGCACACGCTAAGTGCTCAACACCCAACCCATGCAGTGTTGCTGACTCCTGAGCCTGCTGTTGGTGCCCTGCTCTCTTCCCTCTCTGGCTCACTGGGAACTGGGAGTTCTGCGTCCCTTTCTTCCTGTACAAACACCTGTCTCTGTAGTACACACTTCAGCTGACCTTTGCCTTCTGCATCCAAGAAAAATGGAGCTCAGAGTCCAGCTGCCACCCACTGGGAAGGCTGGGCCTTCCCGGAGACAGGGAGTGACAGTGGAGCTTCTGGGGACAATGGCACGCTGAGCGCCTTGGGGGTCTCTGTCCCAGATCTGGCAGAACAGGGGACTGGTCCCCTGACGGCCCTCGTGGGTGGGAACAAGGCCTCCTGAAGGACACATCTGCTGCAGCTGGGAGCCCAGAGCAGGAATGAGAGGCAGCCAGCGTCCTGCGGCTCCCGCCTGAGCATCCTGGCTGCCCAGGCACCGGGAGATCCCACGTCTAACTCCCTCGCCGGGATGCAGGGGGCCTGCTTGGAAGCTGCCATCACCCCAAATCTGGAGCTGGCCATTTTCCCGGGGTTCAGTGCACAGCCCTGACTCTGACCGCCTTACGTCTCCGCCCCTTAGGGACAGTTCCCTGAGGGTAGAGCTGGTGTCTCTCAGAGGGTGGCGGGTGAGCATGTGGGGTTCTCACAGAGCCTGCAGCTTCAGCCAAGATCATGGCCCAGCTGCCCCCAGGGGCCAGGGAGGCAAAAAAAGGTCCAGGAATGGGGATGGCGGCAGGACCAGGAGCCCAGGTCCTTTCCAAGGGGCCTGGACGTGGTGGCTTGTGTGGGACCGCGGGCCTGGTGTTGCTGGCTCTCCCGTTTCAGGGAAGCCTGGTCGCGCTCTCTGTGTGAAGGTGTCACCCAGGAAAACCTGAACAAGAACCATCCCAAGCGAGGGAAGCGCATCTGCGAACGGCCATTTGTGACACCAAATATGTTTACTTCCGCACCCTCCCCCCATCAATCAAATCTAGCAATCCTATTGGGCAGTCCCAACACCCACAGTTTGGGGGTGGGGGAGAGGAAGTGAGCAAGGCTGTCTCTGGGGATAGGGACAAGAGTGCTTTCAGGGTCGCGTCCACCCTCCCAAAGGCGCCGTCTGAGGCCGGGGCCTGCTTGGTGCCTTCTCTCTGGAAGGCGTGGAGCCTGCAGCCGTATCTATTAGGTGCGAGTTCAGACGGTCACCATCCATGTGCCCAGACACAGGAAAACAAGGGTTTTACGCCTTTCTAACCCTTCCTCCCCTTCCCCTCTACCCAGAGGAACTTGGCGTATAAAATAGATGAGACCTGCTCTGGAGCCAACAAGGTGTAGGTGTGTGTGGGGGGTGAGCATCCCACCCTTCCACGGGTCCCCAGGGCTCCAGGGAACCCCAGCTGGAATATGGCTCCAAAACCCTTCCCTGGATTAAGTGCCACCAGTGGACATCGAGCCTGGCACCCCCAGACCTGCTTCTAGGGAGCCTCCCCAGCCTCACTGGGGTGTGCTCACAGCTGTCTGCTCTGACAAGCTCAGCATGTTTCTTGGTTTTCAGTCTGAGTGTGTCCCAAGTGGTATTTGGGACATACTTATACCACGTTCCCATTTGTTGTTACCTGAAGGC